GAATCGCTGCATATTCTGCATCCACCCAGCACACCACTCCTGGGTGGGAGTCAGTCCTAAGCCCTCCGAAGCAGGGACAGGCGCTGGGTACACTTCACATTGCATCTAGCCGGCATGTTGTCCCTGCACGGTCAGTGCAGAAAGTCGACAATTCGACGAAATAAACTGATGACAAAGCGTCTGACTAGATTAGGCACAGGATCGGATGTCCGCCACAGGGACTGCAATGGTTTTAGCTACCTGCAGCACTTGGGCGAAATGCATGTGTCAACTGCGCATGCCTCCATGTAGATATGCGATATTTGCCATGCACCCATAAACATGAAGATGTTTACGACTGCGTCCTTGCATGGAGCTCGGATACATACATGCGTGCATACACTCAATATGTAAGTAAGTAAGTATGTATGTATGTATGTATATATGTATGTATGTATGTATGTATGTATGTATGTATGTATGTATGTATGTATATGGGTATGTATGTACATACACACCGCGAGACTGATGACATTTGATGGTGCTGATGCGATGATGATCATAAGGAGGAGGCGGGCGGACAACGATAATTGTGACAACGGCGATGAAGAGGAAGGACTCAACTCTGAAGCCCCGCATGCATACAAGAAGTCCTAAGACTTCACCTCTATACTACACAAACCCCTCGACTGAAATGAAGCTGGAAACCACGTGGCTGAAGTTCAGGTTGCTCCTCCCCTCCCGTCTGATCTCATCTACACCTACAAGCACAACTACCCTACAGGAAGCAACCACGGAAGTTTTTCTTCACTCAGGTTCAGGTGTGAGAACTACGGTTCACCAAGTGCAGCTCAACTACCTGAATAGCCAGAAATTCTGCAGCGGCCGTCATTTTCCTTGTCATCAGCAAAACTAAAACCGATGCGAGTGGTCGCTGCGGTGCTAGCAGAATTGGCAGCTAGGGCTCTGCGGCTTAACTACAACCACACCCTGAGGAAGCTTGAAGAGGGCGACTCCACCGGATCCGCCTTCGCAAGGCTTCATGCCTCACCAAGGGAACAGTCAGAGATGATCAGTGTAGTGCACGCCAAAACCCCAAAGGAGGAGAAGTTGCAGAACGCAAAAGCGGAGTCCTTCAGGTGACCAGTCCAAGGTCGCAGTGACCGGAGCGGAGGACAACTTCTGCCAATCCTGCAAGCCACCTTCCTTTCGCCCTTCCTCGCCAGTCGGACAGCTAGCTGCAGAGCTGCATCTGAACTTTCGAGTCGCGGATGTGCAAATTTGAAGCAAGATTCCGGTTCGGCAGGGCGCTCAGGTGGAAAGCATGCCAAACATTTTGCAACCTGGCGGGTACCGGAATAATGAATCTCTTGGGCAACTCGAGTCACGGATCTACCCTTCCCGGCTTCAAGCATCTACACCAGGAGCTTTTAGCGGCTCAAAGGATCTCAAACCACCCTTGGTGAAATCAGACTGAAGCGGATTTGGTGCCCTCTGGAGCTCAAATCAAGCAAGCTTGCGATACTCTCGGAACCCCTTTGAACGTCGCAAAACATGCCAACCCTTTAACTCGTTGTCCTGCTTTCTGGCCGAACGATGTGGTCCGGAAGTCAAGCTTCACTAAACCGGGAGGAAATTCTGCAATCCGGAGAAATTGTCCCTGTATGTCTCTGTGAAAGCTCAACGAGTCAGGGCACGGCTGCCGTGTAAGTGCTTCCGCAGACCTCGCCTCGGGCGCGACAAGAGTTCCTTCCCCACGTTCCCTGCGAAGCACAAAAGCCTCTACAGATGGACATCGGCCTGGAGCTGAATTGATGGCCCGAGTTACAGGTCTTCTGCACTGACATCTTGGCCTTCAGCTGCGCCTTGCAGTGAGGGGTAAAGCATGGAAAAGCGGGGCTGCACGGCGATGCGCAGCTCGGTTGGGCCCTGACCTGCCAGTCGGGTCTTGGCAGCTGCTGGTCAAGGAGCTTCGTAATGTCCCTGTCCAGGCCATGCCGCTGACGAGCATAAAGGTGCACCAGGTGTTTCGCCTCCGAAACCTGCCACACAGAGCTGCATTCGACAATCATCGGAGAGTGAACACAACGAAGACTCGATCTGGATGTCGTAGCTGGCCTCCTGCCACCTGGCATCCAAATATTCAATGGCGGCGTCCAGCAGCTTCGCGCCCAGGACGGACGCCTCACCGGCCACCTGGGGATGAGTGGCCCCTCTTATGGGGCGCACACCTCGTCTCATTTCGTCTTGGAGCACCTCTAGCGTTTCGTCGCGGTCACGTCCCTGCGCGTTCAGAATGGAGCGGCACCGCTCCAAGGCCTGGGGTGAACGTTTTGCCCTCAGTTCAAGAAAGCAATTGAAAACTCTTGCCTGTCTGGCCGTGGATGTGGCGACCAGGCGGTCCCAACTCGGAACGGTAGCTGCCGGTGTTGGCGACAAAGCCAATGAAGAGGGATACAGTCCCAGCCTGTGCCACAGGAGTATGCGCTGGGGAAGACGGTGGGCGTGATGACGGCTGCAGCTGACAGCAACGAGTTCATCTCCTGCACCAGCAATGCAGCAAAGTGCTTGCAATGCGACCGAGAGGCGCTGTGGCAAGCTCATCGGAGAGATGCCACGAGCCGTCGTCACACTGCAGCTCGGCGATCCTGACAAGTGCCTGATGGACTGATTCATGTGATTTCTTCGGTTCCGAAAACAAAAGTGTCGATTCCCCTCATCCGGCTGCACCTCGTCAGCTGCAGGCTTTGGCAGGGGAGGCATCTTCCGCTGGTCAAACATGCCCTGCAGGGCAGCTGCTTGGCAAGGAGACGGCACGAGGCTGCAAAAGGCAAGTCTGGAGCGCCTGAGGCTGAGGTGTGTAGCCCTCCGCCTTTGGCTTTGCTTTGGCTTTGGGAGGGGGCGGCGGCCGAATCTTGCCCTTTCCTTTGCCGCCAATTGCGCCGGCAGTGATCGCATCTTGGGCGCCATCGATGACAGATGTGGCCATGACGAGTATCTTCTAAAGAGTTCACTGAGTTGGGTTACGGAGACGGTGTGTTGTTGAGACAGAAGCTGTTCATGAATCTACCCGGGGATTCCAATACCTATGGCTGACATTTTTGGCATTGCCCTGCCTGCAGAGGACACGTCTGATCGAGAAGGCACGGCAAAGTGTGCACAACGAGAGTCTGGAGCTTTGCCAAGATTGCCCTGGTGGCCTGTCGGGTAGCAGCCAGGGTTCGCGATCCGAGTGGACGCCGAGATCGCCTCGGCCTGCAATGGAGACTGCAGGTAGCTACCTTCAAAGGCTTCTGATACCAGGCCTGCTCCGCGCTCATTTCCGGAAATCCATACATCCAACCTCCGAGCAGATAACCGAAGGCAACTCCACACCACATGGCATGTCACGTCTTCTTGCTCTTTCCTGATCAGGGCCTTGATGTTTGGGACGCCCATCATCCATGTCTGAGGCCTGGGCCATCCGCTACTCTGTGCGCAGTACTGGCATCGACGATCACGGTCTTCGAGCCTCGGCTTCCGTGCAAGATGGCCTCGTCCATTAGAGCTCACGATTTGGGCCCAGGCCCTCTGCTAATGCAACTGCGGCTATTGCCGCATCGTCAGGCAGGCAGAGCACCTGGCCAAGAACATGGGCTCTCTTTGGGGCTCGCGGCCGAGGGCACAAAGGCCCGGAAAGCTGAAGTGGGCGTGCTGCTGCATCTGCCGTCTGAAGGGCGTCGCGGCGAGCATCCTCGTCCTTCAGGCTGGTTCTCTCACGGCTAGGCATACAGGTTTTAGCACCTTGCTTCGACGCAGCCCCGTGCAGGGCCAGGCATTGCACATGCATCGCATCCTTGCGTTTGTCAGCATCAAGGCTGAGGATTTGGATCTCGGGATGCTTCTCCAGGCGCTCTCGAACCTCCGGCTAATATCAGAGGCCGCGAAACAATAACATGATTCCACGCCCCTCTATCAAACATTGCATCTAGTTACCTACTGACTACTGACCCCTACAAGTACGAAAGACCCCCATGCTACACAAGTGGACAGTTGAAGATGCAGACCACAGTATGTGAATGAGCGACGGCCTGCAGTCCAGTCGTCCCGGCTTCCTGCAGCGTGTGCTTCTGAAATTGCAAGAGCTTTTGGAAACCCTGCTCCGACCGAAACATGGCAAGGCCGACTCCGTCAATGAAGACGGTCGCCCGTCTTGCGACCCGCTTGCCGCATCTTTGCCTTCTAGCCGGAGATCGTTCTGCACTTCTTCGCTTCTATGACCGCCGAGTCTGCTGCCTGACTGCGATGATGACCAGGGGTACTCCCAGCGCGGCAGTGAAGGAGCTTTGCCGGGGCCTTCACCAGCCACTGACAGGTTGAACGTGATCCCGTCATCATGACTCGTCACATCTCGTCACCAGCTTAGCTTCCGCCTCCGTAGCTGTCGCTGTGTTCTTTGCGCTGGCACCGCAGATGAAGCTGCTGGACCGGGTCCTGGGAGCTGCACGTGAGAGCCCTGCAACGCACGTGACATGTACTAACAAGCAGGATGCACTCCTGCCAAGACTGGAGTCAGGAAAGCAAGCGATTCCATGTCCACCTGGACCACTGCATCTGGAGCTCGTGAACAAGGAGGTGTTCTTAATTCTTGAAGCCGAGGGAAGCATTTCTCGGTTCCTTGTGATGCATGCAGCTGAGACCGTGTTTCGCAAGGGTGCCTTTAAAGACTTTCAGTCTCCCTCGGTGACAGGACGAGTCGGCTGTGGCCCCGAATTGAGCAATCTTGTCTACAAATCGCTGTGGTATTTCTGGAAAGTCTCTACCTGCTCAGGTCCCGGCACTCGGGTTAGGCGAACTCTGGAAGATCTGCTCAATTGTCGATGTCCGCTAGGTCACTACTTGCAGGCGCTGCTGTGTACCCTGGTGCTAAGTATGGTTCACACGTTGCTTGTCTTGCTTCTGCTGCGGCTGTCCCCAATGCCTTGCATAGCAGCTAAGTCCGAGTGCATCAAGCGAGCGACAATCTCCACGAACTCAACTACTCAATCTGACCGGCTCACACAGCAGAGATGCACTTTTCCTGTCGCACATGGCAAGTAGTAGCAGTAGACTGGCCACCCCTCCGGGTTCCAACTCATGGAGACCTGGGCGATCCACATAGATTCACCAAAGACAGCAACACCCTCAATTCTCGCGGCACCTCCATCGTCCAGCTCTCATGCTCGCGACGAAAGGAACACTTGCGAAGCGTTGCGACCTGCTCCGGCTGTTCTGTCACACGCGCTTAGCCAACCCCCACACACCACACCCTGTGCAGGATGTCGGCTAGCAACACAAACAGGCTTCTGAGCTGTTGGCGACTGCATCTACCTCTTTTGCACCTGAGCTGCTGTGACAAATGGAGGACGGCCCTCCTCCCAACGACACAATGTTCAAAGGGCTTCGCAGTGCTCTTCCAAGTAGTTGTTGATAGCTTCCACTGTCTCATCTGGAAAACGCCTCTCATCGGTCAGAACACAGACAACCAATCGGTCTTTGGCCAGGTTCCGTAAGTCCAGCACAGATTGGCCAGCCACACAATCTCAGTGGCGCCCAGTCGCGTCGGCTCCACCTGCAGCGACCGGGCGGCACTCAAGGCACGGCAGGCAAATCTCCTGACAGCAGTGAATGACTGCGTCAGGCAGATCTTCGGCAAACGTACCGCAATGCTTGTCAGGGAGGAGATCGGAAAGGGTTGTTCAAGAATATGTGCGAAAAGCACGTTGACACTTCATACTACACCCCCCATAACTTGCAAAATTGCAGGTC